GCCAAGTATCTCAAATCAAAAATGGGATGAAGCTCAAAATTGAGGACAGATTCTTAATGGTTATCCAATGTGTGCCATTGATATCCAGTGTGTGGACACCAAGCAACCAGAGTGACTATATGGTGGTCACACCACACCAACTGAAATTGGGTAACAACAATGGGCTGCTAGACTATGCTGCATTTTGTACCCATTAAAACATGTTAGCATAGCAGCTTTTTTGAATGAAAATTGGGTAGTGTTAGCTCCCTGTTACCAGGTTTTGGTTGTGCTACCAGCTGCTACAGGCAAGACATGCTGCTAACCAGGGCATCAGTGCAGTGTAGCAGGCACATGTTGAGGGCCTGTTTCAGTGTAGATGGGGCACTGTGCTTGTGAGCCTGGGTCTCAATAGTGACAGCAGGACACAAGGTTTTTGGGGGGCACTTTTAAATGTATTTCTGAAGATAAAGGAAATACAAGTAAAAGTAGAAGAGAGGGAAAGAAGAGAAGGAAAAGAATAGGATAATCTTTTTGTTCTTTGTTTATTTTCTGAAGAAGATTAATTTATGGCAGTCTTACTGTCCCTCTTGGATGGCTGCAGACAGTCTTATTTTCCTTGGTAGGATAGCTGTTATAAGCGGAGCTAACTCTGACGCCTCCAAATCAACAGAAACTGAAATGGGTATTGACACTGATAAATCAGGTCAACCACAATTTTTTAGATCAAAGATCAAGGCTCTTTAAAGGGAAACCTATGTAGTTTTCAGTTGTACTACCAAACAGGAGGAGAAGAGATAATAGAAGCTAGAGCTTGCTTTCTTTGATCAGGGCTTTGGTTTGAGGAGGAGTGAAGAGAAACTGAGAGAGACAGAGAAGAGAAACATGCAGAAAGATGCTAGCTTAACTTATGAGAAGTGACTTACTAATGATACCAATGACACTGATTAGTGGGAAAGGTAGGAAAAGTGAGGTCCTTCTGGTTGATAAGTGTTTGCTTGATCTGGGTCGGGTGGTTGGTGTTCTGTGTTGGTCTGGAATCTGAAAATCCTCTGGAAGCGGAATCAACAAGCTCAGAGAGGATTTTCACAGTTGGATTATGTAATCTGGTATGTACATGTGGTAGAGGGAGCGGAAACCTAAGGTTGGAATAATTCTTGGAGTACTGTGAATTGTTACAAAGTCAATGAAGGAATGGAGTTGGGTAAAAGTGATCAGTGGTGACTAGGGTTAATTTTACACCAGGAATCCATTTCTGAATTCACAAAGGTTAAAAGTCTCAAGATAAAAAAGATAAGATAATATTTTGAATAGAAATGGGCAGTTTTGGAAGTCTTTTGGCCAACTTGGTTGGCTCTAAGGCTGACAGTGCTGTACTATATTTTAGCAGAATCCTGTTGACTACACTGCACTCATGCTACTTTTATCATAAATGGCTCATTGTTGTGGGGGCTGATCAACTATATCATCACTGGCAAGACATTGCTATTTTCCCAAAAACTGATTGAGAGATGTAAGTGCTGGTAACATTAGTCAGCTTAAACAAGAATACTGAGACATTACTTCAGCTTTCACTACATTGCAAGTTGAATTTTATCATTTGGGCTCCGTTTGGCTGCCCAAAATGTTATGTATTGTTGTGTGCAAATCCTAACAATTGGATTTCAGATTTATCACCCTCAATCTGATTATTATGCAACTGTACAAATCCAGCAGAAGATGATATAGACCCAAAAACTCTTGATTCTTGCAGAGAAATTTGAATTTTGAGGCTCTAAACTGGCTCTGGGAGACCCACAGATATTGACAGGAAGTTCTCCAGTAAGTATTGGTCCAGTCCAGAATTTACTCTTGGCTGGAGAATATAAGCAAAAAGTATATTCTGTGATGAGCAAGCTGTCATGATGTGACCAACCACACACCCTTCCCACCATTGTTATAATCCCTCCCCCCAGCTTAATCTGCAAGATCTTCCAACATTGATATATAATATTTTTTCTGAGGCTATAGACTGGCTCTGGGAGACCCACAGATATTGACAGGAAGTTGTTCAGTAAGTATTGGTCTAGTCCAGAATTTACTCTTGGCTGGAGAATATAAGCAAAAAGTATATTGTGTGATGAGCAAGCTTTCATGATGTGACCAACCATACACCCTTCCCAAAATTGTTATAATCCTTCCCCCCCCACCCAGCATAATCTGCAAGATCTTCCAACATTGATACATAGGAGTTTGGGTAGCCAAGCAGAGCCTTATATATCACTAAAGATAATTCAATTAACTGTAACTAGTTGACACATAGTACACTTTGGTTTGACTTCAAGTTCTGCCAAACATCTACATTTATCACATAACAAATTTCTGTGCACATTCACTGTGCATTTGGGCTTGGCTGAGCCAATTTTTGAAGCTTCATTTATAAGTCCATTATGTATATCATAAGTAGAAATATGTAAATCCAGATAATCAGAATAAATCCGCTAAACCATAAATTAATTACTACACAGCTAGATGATCCTTTCCTTATTACAGTGAACTTTTGATGTTACAGTGTGACCAGCCAAACATGAATTTTGGTTATGGTCCTAATTGCAGCCCCCCCCAATGAATCTGCAGGATTTTACAATGTTATCATATGACATAATGGAATGTCAAACAGAGCCTGAGTATTTTTTGATATATAATGCTGGCTTCTTCAGGAGTAAGATCTTCCATATGTCAACTAGTAGCAGTTGAGGGACTGTTTCTTGGGGAGTATGTTTTTTCTATTATTTTTTTCATATTTATATTCTGCTCATTTCCAGATGCTGTAAATGTTCTTTTTATTCTACATTGAACTTGGCCTAGGCCCCTCTGAAGAGTTTTCAAACACCAATTTGCTCTGAACCCTCCTTTTCTCACATCTTCAGACCTTTTGTTAAGATATTTACATGCAGGAGGTGATTTTTATTGCCTTGTTTTTTTCCACATATCAATTATTCAATGGAAGAGAGCACAAGATCATGAGATACCTTCCAGTCCTAATATAACTAGGCCAAGCTACCAATGGTCTACATACTTCATCTGAACCCAACCCACCTTTGCCAAGCCAATTAGTGACCAGATTGTTTTCAGGCTAGATGATTTGAAGTAGAGATGGGCGGGGATAATCCGTTGCGGATATCCGCTATCCGCTGGCAGATACCCGCCAGCGGGTGCGGATTGGTCTTTGGATGGCTGTTTTTCCGCCCAAACCTGGAGGATATCCCCGTATCCCAAGGGATACCCGGTGCCAAGAGAAGCCACACCGCCGGGAGGAATCCCTCCCGGCAAGCTGGGATGAATACCCTCTCGTCGGGAGGGGTTCCTCCCGACGAGCTGGTGTACATACCAGCTTGTCGGGAGGGGTTTCTCCCGACGAGCTGGTATGTACACACCAGCTCGTCTGAAGAAATCCTCTTCCGACAACGCTGGTATGTACACACCAGCTCGTCGGAAGGAATCCCTCCCGACGAGCTGGTATGTACACCAGCTCGCCGGGAGGGATTCCTCCCAACAAGCTGGTGGGTATGTACACCTCCCTGCGAGCTGGTGGGTATGTACACTCCCGGCGATGACCGTTTCCTCCATCCTGCCAGGGTCCTTGCCCCTCTTGCCACCATTGGCAGCAGACTTTGTGTGGGGAGAGTTGGTGATTGTGTGGGGAGAGTCGGTGATTGTGTGGGGAGAGTCGGTGATTGTGTGGGGAGAGTCGGTGCGACAGATGACCGGGCCATTCTGCTTACTCTGGAAGACTTCCGAAGCTCGTCGGAAGGGATTCCTTCCGACGAGCTGGTGTACATACCCTCTTGTCGGGAGGGATTCCTCCCAACGAGAGGGTATTCATCCCAGCTCATTGGGAGGAATCCCTCCCGGAGAGCTGGTACACAATCCAGCTTGCCGGGAGGGATTCCTCCCGACAAGCTGGTTTCAAAACCAGCCAATTGTTTTTTCTTTTTTTTCTTTTTTTTTTTTAAAAAAAAAACAACATCTGTCCACCCTTAAAAGGGGGCGGATATCCGCACAGATACCCGCCAGCGCCAGCGGGTATCCGCCAGAGGATGCGGATGCGGATGCGGATGTCCAATTCCGCTGAAATGGTGAGCGGATATCCGAATCCGAACGGATATCCGGATGCGCCGCGCCCATCTCTAATTTGAAGGATTCCATAAGCCATAAGCCCACCCATCAATGCCACTCTTGTTTCCACCAACATGCATTTTACCACCCCAAACAATAGTACCATTACTATTCTCTTCCCCAGATCCCATGAGAGAATCAAAATGCCAAATTTCCACAGTTGCATTTCAAGCACCCTCCCAAAAGCTCTCATCTCCACATTGCTTTGGCTGCTCTTTTTGGGCACCCTCAAGGAGACAATTGTGTATGTTCTTCATCAGTACCATGTACATAGTCCCAGGAAGTCTTTCAACACAGTTGTTCTAAGAGCTTCTGCTATTTAAATTTTGCGCTCATCCTCACCAGGCCAGTAACTTGGGTATGCCCAACTGGATGCTAGGTGCTCAGACTTAGCTGATCCAATTGGGTATGTATTGCTGCCTGTAACTGTAGGACCAGGTCTGGCTTGTGTGCTTATGCTTGAAGTAACTGTAGGACCAGGTCTGGCAGGTCTGGCTTGTGTGCGTATGCTTGAAAGTAGACGGGCATCAGCTGACGATATGCCAGTCTGATGTCCACATATTGATGTGCCGGAATCCTGTGGGCATAAGTTTCCTTTTTCTATGAACATTCAGCTCACTCGACTCCGAGTGATGGAAGACTGACGGTCGAGTTGTTCCGGGTTGTATGTATGCGCTTGTTTACGTAGGAAGCTGCTTACATAAGCGGGAGTAGCCTTCTGCTTCTGGTTGGAGTTGCTGCACTGACTAAACTATCTAAATCACTAAAACAAATGAACCACGAGGATACGACGAGAACACTCCTCAAGAACCACCAGAGAACCTACATATATCCCAGCAGATGAATCATCCAGACCACTCGATCGGCGAGGGCACGACTGCTGGACCTGATAAGACTTCCGGCGATGTATCCCGATTGGCTGGTCTCACCTTCGGAACAGACGAGGACAGCTTCCACAGTCAAGACTTCAAACAAAAACAGAAACAGCAGCAGCAGCAGCAGCAACAAACTGGAGGAGCAAACCATCTAACCTTACGAGAACAGGAGAAAGTCAGTATAACCCATCCTCTTAACATCCTTAGTACATACCTACTTGCTGACCCCTATTTACCTATGCAGGTCATAGATGAAGTCAAAAAAGAAAACTTCAATCTCAAGTTAAAGATTTACTTCTTGGAAGACAGATTGGCAAAACTAGCACCAGATCAGGTCGACTTGGCGCTCAAGGAGAATGTCGAAATCAAGGTCGAATTTCAAACGGTCAGACAAGAGCTGAAACGATACAAGCGCTTACTACTCGAAGCAGAACGCGCCATCGAGCTAGCAAAGACCGAGCGCGACCAACTCCTAGAACAAAAGTCGTTATCCGAGGAAAGAACCAGTTCTGGATTACAAGCTGAAATGAGGAAGGCAAGAGATCAACTGGCGATCAAGGACAAGTCGATCCAGAGTTTGGAAAGCGAGCTGCAGCGATTGAAAGATCGACTCGAACGATTCTCCTCAAAAGATAACCTATCTAAAATCGTGTCTAGTCACGCCTCCCGAAACCATACTCGTCATTCGCTCTCCAATCAATCCGTCGATGAATGGTCAAATCAAGAACAGATGATGGAGATCAAGAACCTCAGGAACGAGTTAACCGAAGAACGCCAGTTGAAAGAAGACCTCCTGGGTGATAACCAAGATCTGCGACATCGATTAATCGAAACCAAGAACGCCTTACAGGATACGCAAGATGAGATCCAACGAATCAGCCGGGTCGAAGAACATGGCTATCGGAGCCATCAGATCAGCCGAGCTCAAAGTAGGTTCGAGGAAGATCCGGACGACTACTTAAGTTCTGGTCGAAAATCAACACTCACTTCGATCTCCACCGGAGGAGTCTCGAACCAAAAGATTATCAAAGAATTCAAACGAGAGATCCAGGACTTGGAGAGACAACTACGCGAATTAGAGAATGAGAATATCGAACTGAGATCTCAAGTCAATGCTCAAGTCAAGATGCTTTCGACGAAGAACTCAGAAAAGGATAAGTTACAAGATCAAGTCATCAATCTGAAGAGGAAGGTCTTAGACCTACAAGATGAGTTAGACCAAGATGCGCGCGAATTTCAGAAGATTCAACAAGCCGGCCACACCAGTCTCCATGATCAAACAGCCGATGAAGTTCGAGAGGTCAGTCAAACTTTCTCCGCCAACCAATTTTTTGCAATTGCGAACCGGGGGAGAGGGAACGATTATAAGAATAACTCATGTATGTCATTTTGTTTTGGACAGGAATTGAATATGTATCGAGATAAATCAGCATCTGCGATGTTGACTTTGGAGAAGAGGGAGAAGGAAGTCGATGAACTGAATGCCGAGTTGGACGATCGAGATGCGATTTTTAACGATGAAGTGCAGAAGATCACTCGACAATACAACTCTGAGCTCGACGCCATTAAAGCTGAACGAGATGAATTTCAACAGGTAAAAAGTCAACTCCTTCCGACCAAACCGCAACCATTGACAAACTTTCTCCTTTTTTTTTTCTTCTTTGTTTTCGGGAATGGTGACAGGTATTAGATGAACGAGAAGACCAGATTGCTGAGCTCAGTGACCAGTTGAGGGAAGTCATCAATTTGCAGGAAGAAACCGATAAATCATTGCGAGAAACGAGAAGCAAATTGAAAGAAAAGGACAAAGATTATAACTTGGTTCTCCAAGACTTGGAAGCTGCGCAAACAGATCTCAAGGAGGTACCTGATCAATATTATCACTTTCTCAATGACTATCAGAAATGAAGTTCGGGACGAGCAAGCTCTGACATCGTTTGTTCTATTTAATTGTTTCTTTTTTTTTAGATTGGGGCCGGTAATCGGGAACTTGCGGCGGATGTCAACGAGAAGGAGCAGCAGATCAATGAACTGAACGCCGAGTTAGATGAACTGGAGCAAGAAGCATCAAACCGAGCGACGGTTCACGAGCAAGTGGTCGCCAAACTTAAACAGGTTCGCAAGTTTTTATCCTTCTGTTTTATTCCTATCTATGCTGGAGATCTATCAATTAACAAGAGATGTGCTAACGGAATTGGATGGTGAAGTAGAAATTAAACCACACCAAATCGGAATTAACCGAGCTTTCGATCCAACACGAATCGAGTCTATCTGAGCTGAAGTTCTTGCAAGACAAGCACGAAGAACTGCAACTAAGACAGGCGGAGTTGGAGGAACGACGGAAGAAGGAGTGCGATCTGAAGCGTAGATTGGAGCGAGAACTCGACGATCTCGAGCGCGAATTGAGAGGAACTCGGGAGGAAATGGACCTGCAAATCATCGCCTCGAAGAAGGAAAAACGCGAATTACATGCTTCTTTTCAACTGGCGCTCGACACTAAACAAAAGGCATGTGGACATATTGCAACTACCATACAGAAAACATGCAGACTGCTCAAGTTCATTTCTTTTTTTGTGCTCTTTCGTTGGATGATTCGGAAAAAAAAACTCTACAGGCTTTATCACAAGCGGAAAGTGACATAGCCAGTCTGAAAGGGAAACTAGAGATCCGAGAAGAAGATATCGAGAAGTTGGAAAATATGTTGAAACGATTAGAGAACGAATCAAATCAAATCAATCAGTCTCAATCCCACGATAAGTTCTCTTTGGAACTCGAAATCGAAAGGATCCAACGAGACCTCCTCAATTGTACCCAAGAATCTCAATCCTTCAAAGATGAAAACGAGTCCCTTAAGAACCAAATCTCTAAGTTCCAGGCCACTATTTCTAGTTTGGTTCGTTTGTTTTTTTCTCGGACATCTTTTATTTCTCAATCGTCTTTTTTTCCGTTTCGCTTGTCTTATCTTATCTCTCTCTTTTGTTTTGGATGGGGCGTTGGTGATCGTAGAATTCTGAGAAAGATGAGTTATTCGATAAGTTGCAAGGTGTACAACGGGCCCGAGATTCCTTGAATGAAAAATACGAGGAACAGACCAAGGTTAGTAACACTCCACTCTAGAAGCATATATATCCGCCGACCTCTGCCCCCTCCCCCATCGACACTTCTTCGTCTTGATCAAATTTCTCTAACTTTGTGCCTTTTTTTTTGTTTCATCTGCTCTGTATGGCATTATGGGAAACGCTAGAATCTTCGCGAAACTCAAAACGATCTATCGGTCACTAAGAACCGCTTACAATCCCTGGAGGATGAATTAGCCTCCGATCACCTACAGTTGAACAAATTCGAACATCAATATAAGGATCAAATCAGTGAACGAAACACCCTACTGTTGACGATTTATCAGTACATTGATAAACTTTTGAGCAGTGGATCGACTCATGTAAGTGGGCATTTCTACAAGACTCTCTTCCGAGGTTCTTTTTTGTTTGTTGTTGTTAAGGATGTTTTTTTTTTTTTGTAATTCAACAGAGGAGGATCAGTAGTGCCCATGATGTCAAACCGTTCACGAATTTTACGGTGTTTCATGAAAGTATCATCAATCGATTGAAGAGCTTGGGGGCCATGCAATCCGGATTTGACACGAAAATCAAAGAAGTTGAGAAGAAGCTTGAGAAACAATATACGTAAGTGATCAAGGAACTTGAGAGATGGTTGGACGAGATCGGGCAGCCCAACTGACCATCAAATGATCGGGTGTAGTGCTCTCAAGAGACAGCATGATAGTAGGATGAGACAACTCGACCAATTCGAAACGACGATGAAAGCAGCGACCGACACGCAACGACAATGGCGTGCGCGACTGACGACGAAGCAAGGAGAAGTGGAAGCGGCGAGGGAGACGTGCAACGAGCTACAGAAGCAGATCAGTTCGTTGAAGACGCGGGCCTCGATCGCAGGCACGAGTCCGGGCTCGATCACCGAGCCACGCCAGGCCTCGACCAAGCTGGCCAACCTCGAGAAGAAGCTTGCGGCGACTCAGAATCAGCTCAAATCGACCGAAGAAAAGTTCAACGAGGCGAAGCTCAAAGTCAGCGCCGTCGAGTCTAGTTGGCAGGCTCGACTCAAGGAATTGCAGGATCGGAATAAGGAGCTCGAGGAGAAAGTCAAGCGCGAGAAAAAATCGGCCGTCGAACGTAAGTCTCACCTCGATCATCAGCTCTCCGATTTGAAGGATCAGATCGTCGCCTCCGATCATCGCTCTAAACAGTTGGAGGAACTCTTGATCTCTCATCAACAAAACATTCATCCTCATGAGTAATCATTCTTATCGATACATATTTGGCTCATCCATCTTTCAAATCTTGGCAATATCATGTAAACAATAATTATTATCATTCATATATATTTATGTGCAGCCTCATTCAATGTACATATGTAAAAGCCTTTTTTTTCCTCCTTCCTTACTCATTTTCCCATTCCCTTTTTTTATGTTCTCATAACTTTCTCATTTTTTGTTCTAAGCCTTTTTGATGTTTTAGTTTTAGGTTTTCAAGTGTCAAGCTAGAGATACCTTAATTATCGTCTGGATGTCTTGTCAACGACTGATCTCTTTCAGCATCTTTCTTCTTCTTCTTCTTCAGTCTTGGCTTCTCTCTTGTTTTTTCTTTTTTTGTTCCTGATGATATCCGCTGTGTTGTATGATTGACTTCCCTCTTACCTACCCTAACCAATCTAATTTTGTTTTTTTTTGTTCTTCTTCTCCTTTTTATGGGGAGGGAGTGGGTACATAATTATCAGACATACCAATATCTGCATATCCTTACTCCTCCTTCAGAGATCATCCATGTTTGAGCAGAGCCTTGTGGTACACCCCAGGGGCAGTTCGTACCGCGCGGGGTTGTGGAACCGACGAAACTCGGCTTCTCCGTGGAGCCGACAAGATCGGCTCTGTAAAGCTTCGGTAAGAGCCGATCTCGACGGCGGTTCCACGAACCGACTTTTTTTTCGACGTTGGTTCCACAATCCCACATCCGAGCCGATGTGGAGCAGGTGGGCTTGTTGCTCACGTCGATTCCACGACGATGGACATTCACTTCAGCTTCATCCAGGATCCTCTGATGTGGGTCCTGATGTTCCGAAAGCTCGAGAAAATTTGTTTTTTAAAAAAAAAAAAAAAATTGACAAAAAAAAAACTTCGACAAAATTTTTTTGTCATGGGTTAAGAAACAGGTGGGAGTGAGCCGGTGTGGTGCTGAAAAGAAGCCAACCTCCATCTTCACTTTGGCCGAGCGGCGAAGCACCGATGCTTGGTCCTTGAATCTGGTCGTGTGTTCGATCCGCGACAGGTAATTTTTTGGCAGGCCGGCCGGCAGCACCAGAACTTACTGATCGGTGACTCCAGGCTCCACGTGGATTTCACCTTGTGTCCATCGGGTGCCCACATGGATGCAGGGGTGGAGTCCACGCAAAACTGTGGACCGTCAGCTGCTGGTCCGACCCGCCGCAGTGGCCACCCGTGGGATCCACCAAAAA